ACCCCTGGTGGCAGGAAAGAATAATAAACATTAATAAACAATAAACAAATAATAAACATTAAACCAAATGACTTTCACAGTTACTGTTACCTGTTTCTGCCACTGAGAGAGGAAGTGTTTTTGTGGTAAAGGACATGCTGAAGGAAATTAATTTTGAATAATTGAATAATTAAAGTCAAAGAAAATAAAGTATATTAAACCAAAAGGAGGCTACCCCAAACTGTCACATGTTCCTCCAGCTGACTTTATGTGGTACCCCAAATCCAAAATGTTCCCAGTTTACTGTTTTGAAACTGAGTTCACAGTTGAGTCAGCAGACCCTGAACTAGGGCTGAAACGATTCATCGATTAAATCGATTAATAAAATGCATCGATTCTTCGTTTAATCCATATAACTATACAGCACAGTGTTTCACACGGACATTTATTACTGTCGCACATCACGCTTATGCTGTGAACACGGCGTCATTATGATGCCGCTGTTTGCAAAGTGGAGGAAGAGAGAGAAAATAGGGAGGGATGAAGAAGAAAGTGTCCAAAGTATGTGATTATTTCAAGCTAAAGAAAACATGTAATGTTACCGTCCGTCCACCGTAAAATTAAACTTATGTCGCCTCGGCAACAGCACGACTGTATCTAATCAGAAAGCAGCCGGTGTTCTGCCAGCGGACCACAGACAAGGTATTCAAGTCAAGTCATGTCAAGTTTATTTATAACGCACATTTAAAAACAACCAGAGTTGATCAAAGTGCTGACAAGTTATACAGAAAAAGACGTAATAAAAAACAACAAAAAAACCCCCATACATACATAAAACATATATAAATGGATAAAACCAGAGAAAATAAAACACACAATTAATGGCATACAGCAAAACAACGCAGTTAGATACAAAATAGATAAATAAAAACACAAGCGCAGGTGCCCCTAAACAGACTCAAAAGCCAAAGAATAAAAATGTGTTTTAAGTCGAGACTTAAAAGTGTGGCTGGTGGGATGATCTAATAATCAGGGGTAGATTATTCCACAGTCTCGGGGCCACCACTGAAAAGGCACGGTCACCCTTTGTTTTCATACGAGACTGTGGGATGGTCAAGAGGGAATGATTTGATGATCTGAGGGATCTGGAGGAGTGATGAAACATTAGGAGTTCTGAAATATAAGATGGAGCCAGTCCATGTAATGCCTTAAAAACAATTAGCAGCACCTTAAAATCGATTCTAAATTTGAATGGTAACCAGTGAAGAGCAGCCAATACTGGGGTTATATGGTCCCTTTTCCTTGTACCAGTTAGCAATCTAGTAGCTGCATTTTGAACAAGCTGCAAGTGTGATAAAGATGAGTGACAAATGCCAGAGTACAAGGAATTACAGTAATCAATTTGAGAGGAAATAAGAGCATGCAAGACAGTTTCAAGGTCCTTAACAGAGAGAATGGATTTAAGTTTTGCTATGATCCTTAAATGAAAAAAGCTACCTTTAACAACAGAGTTTATATTTTTGTCGAATTTTAATGCTGAGACAAAGATAACCTCCAAGTTCCTAGCGAAGGGTTGTACATTAATGGACATGGGGCCCAAATTTTTTGAGAATTCCTCGGTTGAGTTAGGAGAACCAAATAAAATCACTTCAGTCTTGTTTTCATTTAATTGGAGAAAGTCGGTTGCCATCCAACGCTTAATATCATTTAGACAGCTGTAAATAGACTGTAAGGACTTTGAATCGCCTGGCTTCAGAGGTAAGTACAGCTGTGGATCATCAGCATAGCAATGGTAAAATATATTATGTTTGCGGAGAATGGAGCCCAAGGGGAGCATATACAAAGAAAATAAGACTGGCCCCAGGATTGAACCTTGAGGTACTCCGCACTTAATTGCTGCTGAAGAAGAGGAAATGTTACCAAAGCTAACAGAAAAGTTTCTATCTTTCAAATAAGAGTGAAACCACTGTAGCGCGACACCCTGGATACCAACCCCTTGCTGGAGGCGATCCAGGAGGATGTCATGATCAACGGTGTCAAAAGCTGTGCTGAGGTCAAACAAGAGTAGAATCGCAGAATTTCCAGAGTCACCAAACAGCAATAAATCATTTAGCACCTTCAGCAGTGCTGTTTCTGTACTGTGATGTATCCTGAAACCTGACTGAAAGTTATCCAGCACATTGTTTTCAGCTAAAAACGAAGAGAGTCGAGAAAGAATGACCTTCTCCAATATTTTAGAGATAAAAGATCAATTAGAAATGGGCCTAAAGTTAAAATCCATAGGATCAAGATTGGGTTTTTTAATAAGAAGCTGAACCACAGCGTGTTTAAAAGTGGATGGAAAAATTCCATTTAAAAGAGAGCTATTTATTATAGACAAAAGGCTGGGAGCAACAACATCTAACAACACCTCTTTTAAAAGACGCGAGGGGACAGTGTCCGTAGGAGCAAAGTAGGCTTCATAAATGAGGCTATATCGATCAGTTCAGACAAGACCACGGGCTCAAAATAATTTAAAGAGACGGGGCATGGGACTAGCTCAGATGGGTCCAGACCGGAGGGTGAGATACCAGATCTAATGAAGTCAACCTTATCAATAAAAAACCTCAAGAACTTCTCTGTAATTTCAGCGGTAGCATCAGGGAGTGCAGTAGCATGGTTTAATGCAGTGTTTATTACACTGAACAAGGTCTTAGGGCTGTGTGTGTTTCTAGCAATAATATCAGAGATGTACTTTGTTTTAGAGACTTTGACCAGGCGTTGGTAGGACGTTAGGCAGTTTCTCAATATTTCGTAGGACACTTGCAGTTTATTCTTCTTCCAGTTCCTCTCTGCCTTCCTGCATTTCTGTCTAAGGGCACGGGTCTCACTATTAAGCCAAGGCTGAGCTTTGACTTAAGATCTCTTAAGCTTGAGTGGGGCAATGGTGTCAACGATGTCTGTGACTGTGGTATTAAACAGAGTGACTCTGTGCCCATGGAGGTGGACACTGTCTCTGTAAGTTTAGCAAAAGGCGAAGTTATAAAGGCATCAGAGAATAGCCTAGCTGTGGAGTAACTGAATGCCCGAACATAGCGATCTGGCATTTTAGGTTTTGGCTCAACATTTAAAACAGGAAAACCTAAAGATAAAACCAGATCAAGTGTATGTCCATGTTCATGTGTAGGACCAGTAACCCACTGAGAGAGATTAAATGAGTCCACGAGTTGCAGAAACTGGCTAACCAATGGCTTTGAAGGGCAACAGACATGAATATTAAAATCAGCAAGGATTAAAATGTTGTCAAAGTTGGGCACAAACAATGATAAAAAGCTAGAAAATTTGTTACGCTTATTGTACTTTGGTGGTCTATACACAAGTGCACAAAGTAATGGGCAGGCCAATTCAACTTTAAGTACTTGCACCTCAAGCTAGTCGCTAAGCCTCCACCCTTACCTGTTGTTATGGGAGAACTAAAATAATTACAGTCACCGGGGAAGAGTTCAGAAAGAGGACTTAGATCACCAATATTAAGCCAAGTCTCAGTTACACATAGAAAATCACGTGATAAAAAGAAATCATTTAGGATGAAAGTTTTGTTTGAGATTGATTGTACATTCACCAAGGCTATTTTCAAAGGCAAACTATCCAGATTTTGCGCTGACCCTTTTTGACCCTTTGAACAAATATTAGCGGCAGACCCCAATGCCAGTTTTGAAATGCAAGGAACAGTTATCAAGTTTGACAAGTCAGCTGTGTTACAGGGAGTCATTTTGTTGATTCTGATACTAGTCACAACAGGTATAGTGTGGACATCAGTAGTGCCTAGTAATGGGGCAGTACAGCCTCCTGGCCACTGTGGGGAGCTATTATTCCTCACAGTCAGGAGTTAACTGGGTGTCGGGGAGCTGCACCTTTTAACTCCCCTCCAGCTCTCTCTGCTACCTGCCTGTGCTAATCCATCCTTTCACCCAGATTCTTTGTCTTTATAATAACAAACAGCTGTTTCATGTGCAGGATCGCTCATTTCCCGTTTCACATTTCACATGTGTTTTCTTGATAAAACGTGGTTTGGAGACCTGCGTCAGGTGACACAGCCGCTGTCAGCTCTTGTAGTGTTTGTCCCTGTCACCGATCAGTAAAGTAGTGTGAACGCCACAACGACTTCAAGACTGCCGTCAAGTTGTGTGAACAGCTGAAAGTCGTGTAGTCTGCACGAGCCTTTAGTATAACTTGTACTCGGGTGATGTTTGTGTTTGTAAAGCAGCTGTCTGGTTGTTGGTCTGATGTTTGTTGTATGACACACTGAATTTCCGAAAGGACTAATAAATATATATCACATAAACATGCACAGCTGATCCTGTTACAGGGGGGCGCCACCTCAAAGCAAAAGTACTTCTTAAACGACGCATCGATGAATCGTTGAAATAATCTATAGATGTTTCGAATACTAAAATAATCATTAGCTGCAGCCGTACCCTGAACGCACCATCAGTTACTGTCTGTGTAACGGAGTTAAAAATGCACTTTAATGATTCTTATTTTCAAATTTGCATCTGTGGAATTTATTTATCATTTAATGTTTTTATTGAATAATTGTGAATTTTATCTCATTGAGTTATTTTTCATTTATCTTTATTTTTGCTAATGTTCCCTGTGGAAATGATCCTAGCTGCACACTATCCCTTCTGTACCTCCTAATCTTCCGTAGTGCTCCGTTTCCCTCAGTCTCGTTTTGCACTGCGAAGGCTAAGTTGTGTGGAAAAGTGCTGCTGGGCTAACGTATTGTTTACTTTGGAAAGTGAACCATTTACGTTATAACTTTCAACACATGTTGTCTGATGTCAATACAGTGATTTACGTAGCAGTTTTGTGTTAGTTCGACCGTTAAAATAAGTTTTAGCAATGCTTTGATTTTAACTTTCTAGCCGCCATTTTTACCTCAGCATGCGGGCCGTGTCATGTGACCAATGTAGCTCGTCGGAGATGTCAGCGTCTCTTTCCTTGAGTAAACGCTGTATTTTTGTGTGTTTGGGAAGCAGATGTGCAGTAAGAGGAAGCCAGAAGGCCATTAATATGTGCATTGTGTTCTACAGGAGCCAATAAATTGTGAAAAAGAAGTCATCTCATGGGTCGTCCCTCACATGCCCCAACCACACCCAGAAGTCCGCTGTTTTGAAAAAGAACAAATGGTGTGTCTCCGCCTCCCTGATGGAAAGATGACCACAGACCCAACAGAGATGAGGAAACATAAAGGACTGACCTCATGATGGCGCTCTGGAGTCAACAGCCAGCAGAGAGCTCTCTCTGTCTCTCACAGTATAGCTTTGTCCCTAACTCTTAACCATCACAACTAAATGACCCAAACCTTCATTGAAATTAAACCTTATTTAATCTTCACCCTAAAACACTCTTTTAAAGGTCTGTCCCAAAGTGAGGACCAGACAAAATGTCCTCACTCCCAAGGTCTGAAACTCTAATTGGTTCTGACAATTATAATTACAGACACACAGAACGGGAGAAAGTCAATAATTATTTCAATAATCTTCAGGCTGTTCTTCGTTCAGCATGTTTGGAGATTTAAAATGTGTCTGTGGACGAACTGAACCTGGAAACTGTGGTCATGTTTGTCCTCACAACATAACATAAAACCATGAAACATTAAATACAAACATTGTAATGGTAAAAAAAATCCATCCTCTGTCCTTTCCTAAACACTTTTCCTTGACTTTGATGGAAAACGTCATGAGGTCAAGGAAAGATGTGAAGGAGAATTCATAAAAGACAACCGCGGTGCTCAGAGAACCAGGCTGCACTTACACCAGCTTCTTTTTAACCAACTTTATTTATAACACGCGGAAGATGAGTACAGTGACAAACTCAATGCTGCTCACTTCAAAAGGTTTCCTGTCCAACACAGAATCACACCTCCTAAGAAAGGATGTTTCATTTGGTACATTTAACCATCAGTTAGGCTGCTCATAGGAAGTAACAACAACATAGATACTGCTGAAAAAACAAAAAGGATTAAAATGCTGACACAATATAATAACAAAATCAATATACAAGTAGAGAAAGTTGAGCGTAAAGAATAAATTATTTTCAAACATAAATATATAGTTTCCCAGGATGGGTGCTTTAATCCTGTTTATTGTTTATATTTGTTAAATAGATGCTCTGTTGTTTCTACAGCTGCATCTAAACATTTGAATGTCATGGAAAATTTTTTTTTTCAATTCAAAAGTTAAAGTGAAATATTTCAAGCCTTTTGTTTTAATCTCGATGATCACAGTTTACAGCTCGTGGAAATCAAAACTCCAGTAGCTCAAAACTATTTACAGGTTAAATTAAAATTCAGAATAGAGAAAAGTCGACCTGAGAAGAGCTCTAATCAGCTAATTAACTCAAAACACCTGCAAATGTTTCCTGAGCCTTTAATCTCTCACTGTGGTTCAGTTCAAATAAACTTTTCCAAGATATTCTAATATTTTTTAGATGCACCTGCACATTTATGTCGGTTTGCTGTATTTAAACTACAACGGTGAGTCGCTTTAAATGCTGCTGTTGCAAGGAATTGTGGGACGGCATTATCTCCTTTTGTCGGGTCAGAAATAAGGACCGGCCGGGCCAGTGGAAGACCTGGTCCCTACCCTAACCATAAAATTACTCTGTTAGATCTCTTCTTTAGTCAAAAACTGCGTAGTCAAAAACTTCACTGGAGACGGTCAAGAGTCGGTGCAAAAGAGTTTATTCCAATAAAGGACAGATAAACCCGAACAACATCCCTGCAGGTCTCAGGATGGAACTGAGTTGGTGGTCAGCGAACATCGCCTTATATTCACCTTAAGCTCCACCTTATCTCCTCCTTCCAGGTGGGCGTTACACCTGAACTCCACCTATAGTGTTCGCTGACCACGCCTCCCCTTTGGTGAATTTCTTATCCTCTACTGCCATCTAATGGCCTTTTTCTCGTACTGTTTTACCAAATTAACCCTTTCATTAAAGTCCCAATTTCCAATTTCCAATTAGCTATTATTATATGTAATTATTGTTACAATTTATCTTTCTTTATATTTTTTACATTACTGGATTAGAAATTCACCAATATGTTTCAACTTCAATCTCAAGTTATACAGGCATAATTTGACACCATTAAAACTCAAACACTTACAATGGTATTTTTTAAAAGAATTAATAAGGAATAACATATTTGATACATGCATAACATTCAATTCAATAAAGAAGTACATGTTTCAACAATGCCAACCATGAGGGTGCTGTGTCTCATACAAGTTTAGTTTCGGCAGCGCAAAGCTTGGTTTCATGCAGTACCTGGCCGTACCCTGCAGGACCAGGCGCCATTAATCACAATGTGTCCTGATCTCATTCTTGGCCTCAGTTTGCCGTGATCTCAGGCCTGGCGTACGTGACTTACAGCAGGTGCCTTACTACCATTGTGTAGGTTACGGTTGGCTAGGTTTTGCCTGCGCGGCCTGAGCAGCTGTTCTGCTCATGTTGGCACATTGAAAAGGCACAGGTTCATAAACACACAGAGTATAAGAATAAAATATGATAAACACACAGAGTATTAAGAATAAAATATGATAAACACACAGAGTATAAGAATAAAATATGAGTTGGTACATACTCATTAAACATTCAGTAGTTAAACTTTACACTGAAAGAATAACAGCAGCGGTCAACACCTTTTACCCTGCGAGACCACAGTCATTCTTCCAGTGGCTACACTACAAACACTTCTAAGTAATTATAACATATTGTAAACAAACAAAGTGTATAAATATGGAAAAAGAACCAATCAACCAATCTAGGAATTCAATCAACCAATCTAGGAATTATTCAACACTTTCCTTTGTAAGGAAATATTTTCCACCGTGTTGTCCACCTTTAGACGGCCTGCATTAAAACAACACGGGGCGCAGTGTCAAAGATGCGTTTTTTGTAGTCCATCTTCTGAACGTTGTAGTTTCATCACGGCAGGTCACATCAGTAACATTACGTCGCCTAGAAAAGAGCAGTCAGCTTCTCCTCTTTTCCTGAGTCCTTATGAATTCTCCTTCACATCTTTCCTTGACCTCATGACGTTCTCCATCAAGGTCAAGGAAAGCTGGTTAAGAAAGGAGATTTTATTTATTTTTCGGATGCAGCACAGCTCTTATCGTGGCTGCTGCTTAAACACTTGCGGGTCATTTCACTCAGTTAGGAACCTTGTAAATGCCCGATCCCTTTCTGGCCTTTAATGTGCTCTTCTTAGTTTCTCCTAAACCTAACCATCACAGCTCAATGTCAAATCTAAACAGACTCAAATTCCCAGAGTGACATGCGCCGGCTTGTGGCCTTTGGCTTTCTATCCCAGACTGTGAAGTTGTCTGATTACACGTGAGAGTCATGGAGATACATTAATTCCCCTAACCCTAACCCAACATGACTGCAGGTTTGACTTCCAGCAGCAGCTGGTTAAGGTCAGAGAAAGATGAAGGTCTGGTTTATTACAGCAAAAGTGACTTTTAAAAAAGAGTCTGCTGCTTTTTAAAGGCGTGAAGAGACTGAGGAACGTAAGTCTAAAGAAAGAGCGTTCCACAGTGTCGGAGCCAATACTTCTACTGTTTTCAATCGAGCACGAAGAACAACCAGAGAGCTCTGGTCAGAAGACCTAAGTGATCTACTGGTCAGACAAAATAAATCAATAATATTTAAACATTTAATTCTCTTTTTTGTACTATTTATGTGTATTAGGTTTTCTATTATGTTTATTAGGTTTTATGCACAGCTCCTCTTCAGTTTATCGTTGATGTAATTTATTTAAATGGTCGGGGGGGCAGTGATGGGTTGTTAATTATTTTAGATCATTACAGCCTAAATTGTTATCATTAATTGCATTGTCATCATTTAAAGTATTATTTTATAGTGTAAAGTTACGATCACAGTGGTAAGAATCTAAAACTGTGTGTGTGTGAGTGTGTGTGTGTGAGAGAGTGTGTGTGTGTGTGTGTGTGTGTGTGTGTGTGTGCTCCTCTCGGTGTCTAAAGAAAAAATGTAGAAGCAGAATTAGTGAAAATTGTGTTAAAAAACATACGTCAATATAGTCACAGTAAGAATGTCTTGTCTTTAGCACGCAGCACAAAAGACACCAGCTTATTCCACAAAGTCAGGTTTTTGGTGAAAATAGCATGATCAGCAGAGGGCAGGTCATCATTTTTGATCATTTTAGTATCCTTAATTAGCATTACTCATTAATCATTATTAGTCAGTTTATTAATTATCCTTACTTACTTCTTAATCTTTGTACATTACCGAGATGTGTCTTATTTTCTACTTAGAAGTGCTGTAATCATGAATGCAGTAACGAAGTTAAGATCCCTGAGTGGGAGCATTGACCGTAGACACTGAGACTCTGCACACCTTGTTCAACTGTTATCTACTGTAGATTTATGACAGCAGGAGAGGCTGCAGGTGTTCAAACTCTGCTGTGACAAGTGCATGTTTTGGTCGACTGTTATCTTCTGCTGTTAGGATAACATGACAAACTGCCGAGGTGTCAGTCTGCTGATATTAAGACTACATGTTTAATTACTGATTAAGGGGCTGATTGCCAACTTCCAACCTCTGATGCTTAGAGCCTGTGTGAGCTTTGAGTGAACTTGCTGAAGGAGCATTTGCTAACTTTGCATGGCAGAATGGATGAACTTCTGAGGCAGAAAGTGGATGAACAAATGATGATAATTTTTAATATTAATGAAAGGCACAGCACTACATATGTTATTCCTGTAGTGATTTTTAAAAAATATAATTGTGTGTCAAATTATAGACGCGTAACTTTTGAAAAAACGGTGAGATTTGAGTTGAAATGTAAATGATGAATTTCTTATCCTGTAATATAAAAATATTGAAAGTCAACAACACAGAATGATGAATGAAAGCTGGAAAACGTTGTTAATTGGTAAAGCAACACGTGTAAGTAGCTAAAAAACAGAGGATAAGAAATTCATCATAAAGAAAGGAGGGGGCAAACCAGCCCAGAGGGGGATACATAATGCTGTCTGCAGACCATAGGGTTGACTTCATCCTCCGCCCTGCTGGATGTTGTACGGGTTTATCTGTCCTGTTTTGGAATAAACTCTTTTGCACCGACTCGAGAAGTTTTTCACTGCAAACTTATATTATATAACCTATAGTGGAAAGCAAAATGGAGTATTTTTTAACAAAGTTTATAAAGCTGGTGAAGGTGGGGACCAGGCTTAACTGGCCCAGCCTGGTCGCACATCTGACCCAACAGCAGACACCTTCACCATGGAGTAAATGGTAAATGCTGTAATGGAAGCGCAGACAAGCGTCTAACACTCTCTGGGAACTCGGAAAAATCCAACTTCATGTGTCAAATGCAGCATTATTACCTGGTGTTCTGACCCTGCCTGCCTGGATCAAGTAAAACTGAACTTGGATCTTTATATTGTCTGTCTCTGAGTCGTGTGAACGGCTTCACCACTGCCAGTTTCCTCTGAAACATGACAGTTACAAATAAACTAAATTTAGGTTCAAACTAAGCATCAAGTTCATTTGCGACAATGACGTGTTTCACCTTCTAAATAGAAGAAGAGGAAGTTGAAGGTGTGAAGATTGTTAGTTAAGATAAATGTTTGCGATGATGCAACTTGTTTTCTTCAGATGTCAGTGTTTATTAGAAAACAGACAGGATCCATGGTGATGTTTGACAGCACACATGAACAGACAGGTGAAGAGTCAAACTCCTCTCCCACCAGAATCTGACTCCTGATGTCCATGGTGCAATATGGTGATACTGTAGCAGCTGCTGAAGAACACAGATAAGATGATATTTTACTGCTCTGAGATCTGCTGGTTCCTCATTTTATCTTTGCAGCTCTTTTTTGAGATCTGAAGAGGAAGTGTTTCAGTGAGAATGTGGTTAACAACAGCAGCAGAGCTCTGGAGGTTTACACGCTGGTTAATTTGGCTCTCAAAAGT